GGTCGCGGGTTCGAGTCCCGCTGGAGGCATTCATTTGTGTGATGAGCACGAATGTTTTTACTCCAGTCATGGGTATTTATATTTATAATATGTATGTATTTAAAGTTATATATGTGTAGTGTATTAACTATCTGGTAAGCCTCATAGCTCACCATGGAACTAGATAGTGCTGTGTGTTAATGTCCCAACATATTTAAAAAAAAATAGGTGCATTTGCACTCTCTAGCCCGCCAGATATATCCTTACAAAATATGACGAAGGAAAAACAAATAAGCAAACACACCTTTACATATCTATACATATAATAAAATTGTAACCAAGCCGAATCTATACATTAAACATTTTTTGGAAAATGTTATTGAAATAGACATTCGTATAGAGCTCATATCGATATAGAGGCTCTATAGTTTTTAGAATTTTTTTCTGTCTGTCTGTTACCGCAACACGGAAAAACCACTGGAGGGATTTTGATGAAATTTGGTGTGGTGATAGCTGGTTATTCGGATCAACATACTGGACACTTTTTACCGCGGGAAAATATCTCATTTCTGAGAAAAAATACAAAACCTGCAATGTAAGAGTATACTAATATGTTAAACCTAAGATTTGGTTTTTGGTCATCTGAACGCGGGCGGAGCCGCGGGCAATGCTAGTTTTATAATATCAGTGTGGATTATCGATTTCAAAATAACATTACATGATACATAAAAATGTTTTTGAACTCTTTTGATATTTTTGTCGGGTGTGATATTTCAAGAGCCGTTATCAAGCATACATGTCACGTACAGTGACTGATTTGAGTGGTCATAAAAATTATTTTCAATTTAAGCGTTTCCATACAATTTTCCTTTTTTCTTCCCAACTGTATGGTACGCATTTCAATTAATTAGCAGTTATAGATATACACATCTGTCCACTAAATATTATAAATGCGAAAGTTTGGATGGATGGATGTTTGTTACTCAACCACACCAGAACGGCTGAACGGATCTGGATGAAATTTGCCACAAAGATAGATTAGAGATAGTCTGGAATAGCACATAGATTACTTTTATCCTGGAAAAATGTACGGTTTCTGTAGGCTGGTTGCTAGTATTATATATATGCTTCAACTGCCTCAGTGATGTAGTGGCTAGCGTGTACGGCTGCACACCCGGAGGTCCTGGGTTCGAGTCCCGGGTCGGGCCAAGTTTAGTTATTGAGTCTTTCTGTATAGTAAGCCTCAGTAGCAGCCCGGAGTTGGGAAGTTGGCGGTGTATCACCCCGTGCCTCGGAGAGCACGTAAAGCCGTCGGTCTTGCGCCTTCACTCTCACTGGTCGTGTCGAGTGGTCGTCCCACCAGAGTATGAGAGTGACAGGAATAGAGAGTGCACTTGTGTCTGCACGTACACTTGTGCACTGTAATATCTCCTGCGCAGTTGGCTAGTCTCAATGAGATTGGCCGCCGTGGCCGGAATCGGTGAGGAGAACATCATCATCATGCTTCACGATTTTATTCTTAACAGGAAGGTATTGAGTTTAAGAGCTCATTCCTTTTAATAAATAATATGTTTTTATATTATATATATATATATATATATATATATATATATATATATATATATATATATATATATTATGCTGTTTTGGTTGCAAACATTTGGAAATAACTGTTTAGGACTACAATTCTTACATTTGTGAAAGCTTAGATATATAGTGATAAAGGAATATACGCATTAAAATATCTTAATTATTTATATTTCTTACTTAATAGAAAAAATATTGTTGTAACGTATAAGCAATACGGTTTGATTGGTTTGAATAGACAATACAATAATATAATTTATAAAAAGTCCACATTATTTGCCTTTGTATAAAACCGCTGCATTCAGAATCGTTAGGGCAGCGCACCTTTTTCAAATTTTCCTCAAGGTCTTCCAGTTATGTGAACCTCGCCGACCCTACAGTATTATAATAAATTAGTTATTAGAAAAAGGTGCACACAAATATTGGTATATTAATGTTGGCTTATTATTATTAATCTACAATGAAGCGCAAGTTTAGTTTTCTCCAAAGTTTTGAATTTTATTGAATCCCAATACTATTTTGAAAATACTGACAAAGATAAAAGTGAAAGAAAAATAAAAAAATCGATTCTTATGTCAGCCCATCTATCTAATAAACCTAATATTGGTTCGATACGCGCTCAAGAGGCGTGAAATGACGACCCGTTTCCCACCTCCGCAAGGGGGAATTCTTTACAGATTTAACTTGACCTCGACTATTTTATGGTATTTCTGAATTTAAAAAAAAGATTTCTTCTTTATTAGGGTGTTGTTAATTAAAAAGAAAGAATAATATTGATAAAAGTTTTCTTTTTTTATACTTGCACCATTGTAAAAGACTTATTCAATGTTCATGTTTTAAATGAACGTATTGGTCCCTAATTTGAAATACCAGAAAAGCGTACATACGGTATGTCTTAACTCAGCGCATTCCGTCGATGACCGAGCAGTAACATTCTCAAATTGCTTTCTTATGTTGTAGGGAACAACAATTTGGATGCTTTCACGTTTAGAGGAATTCCTTAAGATGCCCCTTGAAAGCTATGCGCTTAAAACACATGGAAATGGATAGTGACATTTTCACAAAATTATTGAGAACATTCCCATATTCACTTACAATTTAAATATTTATAAATATTTAATTTAAATATTTTTAAGTAGCAGTTATATGTATATTGGAAAGATTTTAAATATTATACTTAAGTAGTCCAATTAACTGTTCTCTTTCTCATGTAAAATTAAAAAAATATCTTTCTTCTTTATTAATAAGTTAATAATTTACTAATGTTGCCCACGTCTCCACCAGCGTTCAGACGACCGAAAACCAAATTCTTAGATTTTACATATATACTAATTTTATAAAGAGGTAAAGTTTGTGAGTTTGTGACGTTGTAGGGGGTAATCTCTAGATCTGCAGAACCGATTTAGATGAAAGGTAAGAAAATAGTTTGAGGTCCTGGGAAGGATACTCTTTATCCCGGAAATCATCCCTTAAGGGGGTGAAAATGGGGTGAAAATGGGGTGAAAGTTTGTATGGGGAAGCAAGCCAGGGACGCACCCGAGCGAAGCGAGGGTGAGTCGCTTGTATAAATATATGTTATGACGTCGTCGTTGTCGTCGCATGGAAATTGTAAGATCTGATAAATTATTTTTCTCTGATAAAATGTTACCTGGATTTGGTAAATCGCCTCCTTTTCTTACAATATTACGAGACAACTTTATAATATAGTAGGTATATCATCATTCCACTAAACACATACAGTGAAATGTAACAACCCTAGTTAAATTGACAATAATAGCTATACTAGGATCATATTAATATAATACATATATTAATATGTTTCTAATTCTTAAGCCAAACAGTTATTTTTGGTTGTTTGGACACTTTCGGGACCGTGAGTAATGCTAGTAATTGTAATAAAATTATAGAAGTCATAACTTTGCATAAATTTTTTTGGAAATTAAAATTACGTATTTTATAAATACATGGCGACATTTAGTACCTAATGATTTTCTAAATAACACGTTATTAAATATTTGTCGAGTGTTTTTTATATTAAAATATCGATATAGACATGATATTTTTCAAGAGAAGCAATTTATAATTATTTATTAGACTATTTTGTAAGTTACCTTGCTAAAATGCTTATAGTTTAGCGTGGTTTTATTCTACCCAGTTTTTGTATTTTTTTCTCAGAGATGAGATATTTTCACGCAGTAAAAAGTATCCTATATACGTATCGTTACAACAAGAACTATTGTATAACAGAAAAGTAATAAATAGTGAATAAATTTTTCACCTTACGCCCATGTGATGGTAGAGAAATGGCCAAGTCAGATATTTTGACTAAGGTGTACAGTTTGTGAAGTTAAGGCATGTAGAGTTAGAAGCTTGGCTCTACATGATCTGATAACTTTTTGCCAGTGCGAGCCATATGGTCTTGTCTTGGCAACTTTTTACATGAAAATGTTTTTGGTGGGATTCCATCTCTTTTTGTAAGTTGCTTATGATAAGATTTTTTTATTTTGTTATTTTTTTTTCTTTTTTTGAAGTGTTTTAGTTTATTATTATTAACAAGGAGTCCCTAAATCAATGTTCAGACCTCTAGCATCAAAATTTGCGGAAGTGTCATACGAACTTTCATTCCCTAGTTTAAGGGGTTAAAAGTTCCAAATTTTAGAATTTTTTGTTATTTATGTACTAGAACTTCAGGTTATTAGGAATACCCTAAGAATTTTGATGATCATCAGTGAGCGAGTCAGTGCCAAAATCGGAGTTTTTTAGATATCAATATAATCTAAAGTCAAGAGGTAAAGTAAAGTAGAGGTATGCAATTGAAACTTTATATGTTAAACAAGTCCACTATCGAAATCATGTTCAAAGAATTTTATTTATCTGGTATAAGCTAAATCCAAGTTATGAGGGTTCAAAAAATCGACGAAACCCTTCGAGAAAAAGTAGGTAGTGCTCTTGCCCTTCGCTTGGCTCATCTTGGCGGGCGCACTACCGTGCCCCCAGATTTATATGTTTTTTATTTGATCAACAGTTGTCATTTTGAAAAAGCCAGATTGTGTTGATGTTTGAAGTGTTCCGTGAGATTACGAAGTTGTACAGTCTATCACAATAACCCTTTGTTAACTTAAACACAGATTAATATCGATCTGTAGTTGTGCAAGTTTCGTATCTCTCTTTCCTTGTGTCGGTTGATAAATTATATCTGACTGCATTGTGCCGAGCGCTTAGACGATCAGTTTGTACGGTATCAGTAGGACTTGAGCATCTATAGATATAAGAATTATCATAATAATAAGTTACAGTTTCTTAAACAATAAAATTGTTAATATTTTTATTTCGTAATTATCGTTATTTATTTCAGATAAACCCATTCCACCATGCATTTCGATAGAAAATTTAATTAAACTGTGTAAAATTGGTCGGAAACTATTAATACTTACTATGATCGAATGTCCTCGGATCAATGGTAGTGGTGGTGATAGGCGTAGTGTGATCCTCTTCGTCATCGTATGTTTCGGTAGTAGTGGTGGTAGTGGTAGTTCGTCGTCGGTTGCGAAGCCGACGTTCCTGCTTCTTAGTCATGGGCGCAGTCGGTCGTATTGGTACGACAGTAGATTTCCGAGGCATTTTCGCCATGACAGACGAGGCGGTGTCCGAGCCGGGGTCGGCCAGGACTAGCGCCACCAGTGACACGGCTGCCAGCCGAATCACCAGTGGCGCTAAAGGCCACATCTTGCCTGAAACAAAAGAATTATTTCAAAATTGCATACTTCGTACAGTTTTCCTATATTGTGATAATATTCTTTACTTCTTTATCGTTAGACGGTTTGTTTTTAGTCGTTTATTATGTCGTAGAATCAGGTTTGATTCTTACGTGAGGTGAATATTTATTAGTAAAGCAAATTTGTTATACGATTTAGTAAAGCGATTCTTTGTAAACTATTATTACGCAGTTTTATTTATTATATGGGCTGAAAGGAGAGAATAGAATAAAGTGTCTCAACGTTTCCATATAAAAAAATAAGCGAAATATACCTGTAAGATAATGAAAATATTAATACATATATTATGTATTCTAGTGACATCTAAACAAAATAGAAGAATAAACAATATTTAATTACATTATACGCTTTCAAAAAATATTTTCTCAGCGTAAAAACATTTTCTCTTCTCTATAGTCATTGCATATTTCCATGCATTTTATCTGTAAACCGTTTTTGTATATTGTGACAAGACACTATAAGGTTCGTGAATGTATCACCGGGATAATAGAAAAGTGTCTCTGAAAAAGGGACCGCGTCGCGATGAACCTTATTGTGTAGCACCTTTCGTTGTTCCTCTTGGATTTTATGTCGCGGAGCTATAAAGCTAGATGTCCGTTATTGTTTTATTCTTCCGTAAAGAATAAACCTTATTCAAAATGGATCTTTGTTCCTGTTCTTTTGATAGAACTGGTCGTAGTGTGATTAGTAACGTTTTCATAAGTTTTCACGAAGAGTATAATTAATTTAACATTTTAACCGACATTGAGCTACCTAAAATTTGTAGTTGATTAATTTATAAATTATTAATTATAATTGATTAGCAGTGCCCGCGACTTCGCTCGCGTTCAACTACCAAAAAAAAACATGTAGGCTTTTTACTCTTTTGTATTCTTTAGCTGTTTCTATGTCCTTAATGTTGATCCTAGTAAGAATATAACTAATCACTATACAAAATTTAGGTAAAATTCGTTCAGCACTTTTTGTCTGAAAAACTAATGGATAAACAGACAAACAAACAAAAAATTCAACAGTTATTCTCTTTGAGTGTACATTCTGTTTAAGTCTTTGTTTTTAATAAAATATTTTTGTACAGATTTCGCTTTGTACTTTTTTATTATATGGTAGATTTATAAATTTAAATGAAAGTTATTGAAAGTAAGAAACTAAAATCGTGTAGAGCTCCAAATATGCCTATAACTTTGTGAATTTTTACTTTGTCTTGGTCGATTGAAGATCGACGAGATTATGTATGTATACATTAAGAGGGAACATTCCACTCTAAAATCGTGTAAAACTGAATATACTTTACAAATTCTCAAGGGACACCTGAAAGCCTCTCTAGTTTCTATCCAAGTTGATATCACCTTTTATTTGCGACTTAAGCTACTTGTAATGTAATGTAAAGCTTTGTTTGATTTTTGTTTGCTTGATTATGTCTATGTAGACTATCTTATGAGTCATTGGGCGTGCTTTACCTCAGTGTAATATATGAGGAGATCTGTACTATAATGGGAACCCAGGCGGGCAATAATAACTTTGACAGTTATAACCTCTTAGAATGCTTAGTTTGCCAGTCTAACTTGGTGGTTAACAAAGTTTGACACTTCCGCTAACTATAGGTTATGCCACGCTAAAGCCTGTTAATAAATTTTACACAAACACAATTATTTTTATTTGTTACTTAAGTAAGGCTACTATCATACTCCTTCCCCCAATGTGCGTTCACAGTATTGTGATGGGAAGGTAGGGAGGGGGGGGGGGGGTGGTGTTATATTCTTGTCGTTCGCGTCGTGTATGCAGGTGGTATGCGTAAAGGCATTTCCCAATATTCGAAAAAAGGTTACTAGGAAACTCTATATTATTATTATTCAGTACATAATTTAATAGGAATTTAAGCTCTTTTGGATCAATTTGTATAAAATTACTAGCTACTAGCATTAAAACAGTGAGGTAAAAGTCACGACTAAGTTAATGTAAATAATATCAATTAACCGTTAAAGGCAACTTAACTTGAACTATTTAGTAAAGAACATAACTTTAAATTCCTTAGTAGTGGAAGCTACAAATAGAGTACGTGCAAATATTTGAATCAAATATATAAACGTTTTTTCATTTCTTCTGATCTAATTTCTAGCTTCTTAATTTTTATTACATTTTATATTGCTTAGGAAAGTGTTTATGGTGTGAATAACAACTAAACGGCTTTATTTTAATTAAATATGTACATATATAAAACCTATTCTATTAAAAATGTAATATGTCAAAATATGATAGGTTATATGCATTGGATACGTCAAGCATTAACATTTGGCATATATCTGTATGTACGAGCAATATAAGCTTTTGTATATTATTCGAAATACCAATGAAGCTCTTTTTAATAAACACATACAGTAATCAATTATCTAGTAGCCTCTTAAAGAGATCATATGTGGCAAAAAAAGTAAACGATGCTCAGCCAAAGAAACCCATTGATTCTAGAAGAGTATTCAAAATATACAGATTTGGAGGAGTTTTAAGTGATGAGAAACCTAAATTAGTGAGTTATGATCTTGACATCAACAAGTGTGGCCGGATGGTTTTAGATGCCCTTATTAAGATTAAAGATATGGACCCGACTCTTGTGTTTCGGCGTTCTTGCCGGGAGGGTATCTGTGGCTCTTGTGCTGTCAATGTGCAAGGGAAGAATTGTCTCGCCTGCATTACAGCGATTCCACCAAACCGAGTAATAACAATTCACCCGATCCCTCACATGTATGTCATCAGAGATCTCGTGGTGGATATGACTCATTTTTTTGACGTTTACAACAGCATTCGGCCGTATCTTATCCGACAAGCTTCAGGACCTATGGGTAAACATCAATATGCACAAAGTATTAACGACCATTCAAAATTAGTAGGTTTATATGAATGCGTTCTTTGTTCTTGTTGTGCGACGGCTTGTCCCAGTTACTGGTGGAACGGGCGCAGGTTTATGGGTCCAGCGACCTTGCTTCATGCTTATAGGTGGGTGATAGATTCCCGCGACGAAGATACTGAGCAGAGATTACATGAATTACGAGATGATTTTAAAGCTTTTCGTTGTCATACAATTTTAAACTGCACTTTGGCTTGTCCCAAGGGCTTACATCCAGGTTTATATATTGCTAAACTCAAAAGATTAATATCCGGTCTGGATAAAAAACCGCTTCCGGAAATAGATACGATGAAATTTTCAGATTCAAATTCGGGGTCCAATTGCTAAATAGATATTTTCATGATTACTTTTGATACTTATATTAATCATATATACATTGATATAAAATTAAATACTACTTTTTTAAGAAATGTCGATAATTATGCTATTTAGACATTATGAACTAATGTGTTTTAGTTAATTTTAATATAGGTAAATTTGTTTATAAATTACTTTATAATGAATTCGTGACTCAAATCCCTATAAAGAATACCAGTTAATTCAATTTATTTATTATTCACATAATATTCTAATAAGTAAAGTTAATTTTTCGAATTAAATCGAATTTGGAAATTAACTCTACAAATAACTTGATTCGTAGCCATCATATTTGATATTCTAACTTTTTCAATGCCTGCCCTGCCAGGATACCCCTTTCTCGATTTATGGTCTTACCATGCATTTGAATAACTTAACCATAAAAATAGACGCTCTGCGGCCAGGAACTTTAGCAATAAAATGCAAATGGAGACGTTTGTGAAGCCCCTATGTTACCGACGTTTGCTCTTAGTAGTTTTTGTCCAAGCACACACGCAGTTTTACGTTTATTTTAGATAATTGTTAGAAATGTATTTGGTTAAATTAATTATCACAATATTATTTATTTAAAAAAAATTGCTCAGAGTTTTTTTTATAAGTATTATGTATTTTATTTACACTACTCACAGTTATTATTGAAATTCGTTATAACTTTTTAATATATTGCATATTCAATTTAGAATTTGAATAGGGTCGTAAAAATAAAGAATTTTTAATTTAGCGAGGAGCGTAAAGCGTTTAACGACATTTAAAAGCATAGTGTAAAAAATCCAACTTTTACGAGGTTTAATACTGTTCAAACTTATACGTTTACTGACTTCATTTCCTAAAACCTTCATTCCGTAGCTTTCAAATATAAAAGTGAATATTAAAACAATAAGTATTGTAAAAGTTTAATGAATCTGTAATGTACCTACCTACTACATCGTAGCCAATTATGTATTTATTCATATTTTTATTTCATAAGAACAAAGGAATATTTATGCGAAATCGATATTTTATCTAGGTTTTTTTAAGAGGAAATTGGTCAAAATCCATTTACACCCGAAACAATCATTTTGGAAGTTTTGTTGCTTATTTCTGAGAGGATAATCGATACATATAATCAAATTCTAACTAAGTCGAACTGTATATTAAATATTTTTTTTTTTAATTTTATTGAAGTAGCCATTATTATCTATATAGAGGCCGAATCTATTGTTTTTAGAATTTTTGTCTTTCTGTCTGGGAAAGCATCACGAGAAAAAAACGGGACAGATTTTTATGTATGATATAATATGATGTTAGGATAGCTGATTATTTGTGTACATATAGGGTACTTTTTACTGCCGGAAAATATCTCATCTCTGAGAAATCTATTCTAACCTTTAAAACGTACCAAGGAACGAACCCGAGCGGAGCAAGGGTGAGTCGCTAGTCTAAGTATACGAATAGATTCTGATAAATTTTCGTGCTTGTAAGAAAGTGACAAATAATACTTTTTATACCAGTAAAAACTAGTAGAAATGGTAGTTTCCACAGATACAGATACAGAAATGCTGTTATAGGAATTATAATAAATAGTTTGGTGGTGGTTCCGGAGTCCCAAATATAACAAATGCTCTAAGTCAGGTTCTTCGGATATTTAACCTTAAAGAATACATATAAGTATAATCAGGACAATATTTAAAAGCAATTTAATATTTTTTGTCCTAATATTTAATTTACAATATTCATAAACTAAGAATAATAGAATTTGACATAGTATTTAGAAATTCAATTTGAGTAGAAATTTTGGAGACAATAAATGTTCGATTAAATTTAAATAAGGCCTAAAACTTTAATGTGTACTGAGTTACATTTTCGAAGTTTTGCAATTACTGTTTTAAATATTGCCAGAAAACGATGAGCGATGCTCAAAATTCAGTTTCGGTTAGGCATATTTCCTGTTAGCGGTTCAAACTTTTTGATGGTCTTTGTCAAGGCTGCGTCGAAAAAGGACCGGCTCGTGTATGTAATTAAGGTCCATTGTGACAACTTTCCTCTGATGTGGTTTTAAAAGCAATCTCAAATACGTAAGTGAACTCATCACAGTTACAATTAATGGAGTAAAAATGCAAAATATTTTACTAAAAATATTTTTTTTTATTTGAAAGAATATATATATATACAACTTATTCTTAATTTTGAATGTGTTTAAGAGTGAAATTTAAAAGTTAAACTTGATTATTGATTAGAAGTATAGTTAAGACAAAGAAATAATTCACTACTGAATATATTTTTTTATTTTTAAACTTTTTTCAAAAAAAATCATTTTTGTAATGGAAAAAGATAATTTCAAATACATGAGAACAATAGTTTCTAATAATATTTTTTGCAAAACCTTAAGATGTTTAAATGCGTCGCTGCCGTATACCGCCTCGATATTTAAGTCTCTCAAATAGCGAAATGCCAATTGTATGTCGAATTCTCAAGAATGATCCTGGAAATTGAATCGAGATTTCGGAATTTTAGAATGGACTCAGCCAGAGAAAGGTAACCTAATTTTATGGTACGCCTTCGGAATGGCATCGTCTCAACGTGTCTTGATGCTCCGCGAAAGCGATTAGATTCGATCGGATATAGAAAATTACGTAATGCCGCAACCGACAATCTTGTGCAGCTGTGCAGCTAAGGTAAATAATAAATATGCTTCTTGTTATTCATAAAACTAAATGATTGATATTTCTACAAGACTTTAGTTCTATTTACATTTAATAAAATAATAAATTGTACATTACAAATAAACATTTAAAAAATAAACTTTCGTATAGTAGCGTTTAACAAAATTGTTATATAACTTGTGTGTATAACTGTAATTTTGTATAACTACCTAGTTCTATAAATTACATCATCATGTCTTTTGGGAATTAAACTCGTGAAGCTTGAAAAAGCAAATTAAAGTTTAAATTGTTTTATCACAAAAACGTAATGGCTGTTTATCGTTTCACGATTTTCCATTAAACAGAATCACGTGTTTATCTTTAAATTCACAACTTTGGCATTATGTCCATACGAATGAACAGGAAAGATTGACATTGCGCTTAAAACGTCCTCGTTGAGTTTTATTTAACACATTGAAGGGCAATGTAGCGCGAATACTCAAGCCTAGAGGCGGTTGTACGTGTGGTGGAAACAGTATTTTAAAACTTGGAAGGTACGATAGAGATAGCATGTTCGTTGAGCATGTACTGAATATATTCCAGTAACAGAAGGTTTTTCTTATTTTCCTAGAGTTCCCCATTTTTCCCCGCGCGGCGTCCACATGGGATGTGAGCGGTACATGGTTTTTAACTTATCTAACATTCTTGCAGGTGTGTCAGCGTTTTAATGCAGTTCTCGAGTTCTGGAGTGGATGAAAAACTTTATTATTTTGGACTTTACGCTTCCGTTGCGCTCTTACTATTAAGTAAGAGCTTCTCGAGCTTTTCCATATTTCTATTACTATATTTAATATTTACAACGTGTATATATATGTGTATATTAGTTGGTATATTATCTCATAGACACAGACTAAATAATTATTTTGACGGAGTCCGCCAAATGTCAAAGTCAAAAATAGTAGCATAATTTGCTAATAAACCTACTAACATCCGTTTTGCCATACGATACTTACTTTCTGTAAAGTATAAGGGAAATTTTGTACCTGTATAAGTTAATTTAAAGCTATTTTTATTTATTACCATTTATTTACTTATCACTCAGCATACAAATTGTCATTTGTATAATATTTTAAACATTATTGCTTGGTTTCATGTTTGGATCCATGACAGTATCTATATATTATTCCTTAGTCTCAACCAATAGAAGACAATTTCAATAAATTATTATAATTATGAACACAATAATAATTTATTTACTGTAGGTATACTTTTATATACGGGTAGTAGTTAATAAACGCTCATACAATATACATAAGAAAGTAAATATATAACATATTTTTAATATTATATTTAAATCAATATCGTAGCATGAAAAATAATTAATAAAACAATCAGGATTTGAGAAAAATGATGATACGGCTTCACGTATCTTTCCGTAATTGAAAGAGTTCATAGCATTGGATAAAACTTTCCTGCGAGTGTTTCCAGAAAACAAGCAAGAGATACTTAACTGTTCTGCAATTAACATCAAATGCAGCTTGAAACTCCATCCGCACTGAATGATTCTCACTTTACACTCCTACAGTCTATTATTTTGTTTTATCCTTTTATTTAAATTTCGTTTATAGATTTATGTAAAATGATTAATAATGTAAGAAGTTTTCAGTGAAGTATCTATAAATTGTTTTATAAAACTTTTAAATCTAATTATTTAATTATTATCGCATGTTCGTACATACAATTTATTTTTTAACGCTGTAGTTGCCTTTAAAAATAAATACCTTTTCTTGAAATTTAATACAGCCCAGCTCAATATATGTAAACGCTGTTCAAGTGAATTTATCCAGTGGTCCATTGCGTTCAATGATATAATTTGTATTTTTTTTAAATAACGTATATTGAGTATGTAAAACTGAGTGCTAAGTAACTTTGTTTGCACACACCAGTAGTTTATTGCATTGCGAAAGGTGAGCGCGCTTCTATAATGTGATTAAGCAATTTTAAATAACATTTAAAAATACTAAAAATACTATAGACTATAGTTCCAATGACTACTGAAATATAATATATGAAAGAAATAAATGAAAACTCTTCTCAATAGATTTTCTGTACACATTTGTGGATTTTCTTTGTTATAGTTTATTTTTAACGAGTATTATGAAGTGAAACCGTTTTTTATATTATTACAAAAATGATAGGTTATACAAAAACGCCCTTAGGTAAATAAGGTCACATAATTGTATATGTATTGTTTCATATTTATATATCTTAATATATATAATTCTTCTGTTCGTGTGTTTCTTAACCTACTAATCCTAAAGGGTTAGACCGAATTGAATAAAATTT